AAATACCGCTCAATATCATTCTTATCTATTTTAATCAAATCTTAATGCATTTATTATCATTTACATACAAATCATAGTGCACTTGTTATATACAAAACAAATATATCAGTATCACAAAAAAACCAAACTGCCAATTTTTAAAAAAGTCTAATTTTTATTAAACGCATCAAACATTCAGAGTATACAATTATTTTTGATATTTAGTAGTAAATTAAATTTAATGTTATCGAGTTTTCGTAAAAGATGGCGAAAGGTCCAACATTCGGAATTCGTTTTATACAAAAGTTGCATGCAACATGCTGTCCAAATTTAGCCGTCAACAAGGAAGTTGCGTACAGGACAAGTATATTGTTATTGACATACTTGAGTTACCACAGCGTTCATGTTACACATAAAAGACCAATATCGGTTGTGAAAAATGTGCTGCCAGGAATTGTTCAGAAGTTACACCTGATGGCAGTTTATCAGCAGGCCAAATGGCAAGTGATCCACATTGGTGCGAATGGGCTCCTTTTGATTCCCCAATATTAAAGCACTTTTTGGAATACTTGATTCATCATTTCTATTGTGTACGCTTTTTGCAATGTTTTTTCTGTTTCGTTGCCCGAAAGAGTCCGGTTAAGGTATTTTCTTACCATAGGAATGATTCTAACGGGAATATTCTGCTACTTATTTGGGTTTGCTTCGAACCATCAATGCATCAACTATGGTACTTCATTGTCGTCCAGTTTTTGCAGGGATAGCTCAATCTACCCGGTTTTCCCAGCGTGGTGACTCTTGTGGCCGATGGTGCGGAAAAGCTAAACGAGGACTTATTTTCGGAAATATGGAATTCACATACGCCTATAGGAAATATTTTAGGCACTCTGATAGCTGCTCATTACACATCGAAGGAGATTGGTCTTTGTCATTTTTAATTCCCCGGCGCCATCACTTGCCTCGTAGCTATTTTGATTTTCATATTCTTGGTGGATCACCCAGAAAACGTTGATATAGAAATAGATGCTGGTACTGAAGAGCATGCAGAAGCCGAAGGACATAAAGCAATTAGTTTCTTAGGAGCCCTTCGTATTTCTGGAGTCGTCGAATACGCACTGACCTTGTTCTTCTCCAAACTGGTCAGCTATACATTTTTATACTGGTTGCCGAATTATATCCACAACTCGACCACTTTGGGCGCGAAGAAAAGCGCGGATTTGTCAACCTTATTCGATGTAGGCGGAATAGCAGGTGCTATTTTGGCTGGATTGATTTCTGATCTATCTGGAAGATCTGCTTTAACTTGTGCTGGCATGTTGATTATAGCAGTTCCTACGATGCTTGTTTACCAAAAATGGGGTTCGATTAATATAGCGATGAACATTGGAATGCTGCTATTGGCCGGAGCTTTGGTGAACGGACCATATGCCCTTATCACCACATCAGTTAGTGCTGAATTGGGAGCTAAAACCAAGGGTGATTCTAGTGCATTAGCAACAATAACTGCGATAATTGATGGAACAGGATCTTTTGGAGCGGCTGTAGGGCCACTTTTGGCAGGAGTCGTCAGCCAAGGAGGATGGGAAAGAGTTTTCTATATGTTGGTGACAGCTGATGTTTTGGCACTCTTGATGCTCACTCGCTTGGTGATAAAGGATTGCCGCAAGAAAAAAGAATAATTGATCTTACAATTGTTTAAAAAATATTTATTATAATATATTTATTCTTTTTTTAATTTATTGTTTTTTTGGTTTGCATTAAAATACTTTATTTCAGTGAATTGAAACAAAATACGGGTTTTACCAATAGGGACACAATCGACCTCAGAACAAGTAAAGTTTGAATTTTTTTATTAATGCTATTTTAAAGTAGGGGGCAAATGATGTGTAACCGGCCATCGCCTAAAATCGGTCGACTTCAAGATTGCGAGATGAACTGCCATATTTTCAAATTTAAAACGATTTTTTTTGTTTTTGGTTATTTTGGTTCTGAGCACTGTTTTTTAATTTATGACACCTGAATTCAAGTTGGAAGTATACGTAATTTCTAAGTTAGATTCAAAAGTATTTTTAAAAACAGTTTTTAAATAATTTTTGGGCCA